CATAAGAGTGGTTGCTGGTGAGCTTGGTCTCTCACAGGCAATGACAGACTCGGTCGTGGGTCTGGACAACACATATTTCAATGCAGGATAGTAAGATGTTATGGGAATTAGCTGGGAGAACCAACTGCAGGAGGAACAGGCTCAGGTGCTGCACAGAGAACAGACCCTCCCCCCCGAGTGCACCACATCAACCACACTCCAAATGTGGAAGAGATGAGGGGCCTATGGCCTCAGTAACCTAGCTCAGTGCATGCTCACTAGTCACTATATATATATTTTAATATGTCTTTATTGATTTCAGAGAAAGGAAGGGTGAGGGACAGAGAGAGATAGAAACATCAGTGATGAGAGAGTCATTGATCGGCTGCCTCCTGCACACCCCCGACTGGGGATTGAACTGGCAACCTGGGCATGTGCCCTGACCGGGAACTGAACCCCAGTCTCCTGGGTCCTAGGTCGATGCTCAACTGCCGAGCCACACTGTCCAGGCAGCACCATCTTTTTTTAAAATTGAATTTAATGGAGTGACATTGGTTAATAGAATGATATGGGTTTCGGGTGTACAAGTGTATATAACACACCATCTGTATATGGTATTGTGTGCTCACCACCCCAGTCAAGTCTCCTTCCTTCACCATCTAGCCCCCTATATCCTCTTTGACCTCCCTCCACCCCCTAAATGTCCATTACTTTAAGCCAAATGTCCCCACTTCCATTAGAGTTTATACTCCCCAGTATGATGACAAATAAGGAAAGGTGGGGTAAACTCTGAGCCTCGCGTGGAAGAAGGCTTCCTTCCAGGAGTTGCTTTGCAGAAACGCGGGCAAATCTTTGCTGAGGGCAGGTTCTGTTTCTACAGGCGGGCAGTGAGGCCATTGTCAGGGTTTCCAGGAGGACCTGTAAGAGCCCGAGAGTCATGCCGTGCCAGCCCCGCTCCCAGGCTGAGCACACGTGTAGCAGATTCAACATCTATTGTCCTGTCCACCTCAATAAAACCTGGCACTCTTTAAAGCACTTGCCTTAACGACGTTTGTGTGTCTTGGAATGCCGCCGTGGGCTAACAAATCGCATCTGAAGATGTGAAAACATGAAAATTGATAACAAGAAATGAAAAGTCCGTTTCGCTGATAAAACATCATTTATCTTAATCATTGGGGCTTCTCAGAATTTCCTAAGTGCCCTTTCAAATGCCAGCATGGAAGCTAGTGGCCGCGTGTGTGCAGAGGCCTAGGGGGTCCAGGCGAGAATGCGGGCGGCCAAGGGACAGCCTGCGGGAGAAGCGTCTTTCTGGGGCAGGCACTCGCTGGACTGGTGTCCAACCAGGGCTCGCTCAAGCCGGGCTTCCCAGGGATGGTTCTGTTACTTCAGTGCCAGTGAAAATAACATACCTTCCTATGAAAGCTGTTTCTCCAGACTAACTGTGAAGCATAAGCGATCCTCTCGTGGTAGGCATTATAACAATAATAACTCGTTCTGATGATGCGAAGTGGGAGAATGAAATTATTAGTCTACCTCCGGGGAGCGTAAGCCTTGCCCTGCCCCGGGGTGGATGTGGGCATTCCTGTCCCCCCACCCATCGAATCCACACAGGGAATTAAACTATAGAAGTCCTTCGTGGTGAGAAGGTTGGGAGCTCTGGTCCCCAGGGATCAGTTTTCTGGCTGTAGCTCTCTCTCCTTCTTTACTTCACACATGCAGCCTCCCCAGCTTCAGGTTCCCTTAGTTCCTCCCAGAGGACCAAAATGTGGAGAGGTTGCGGGTAGTGTAAGAGCTCCTGCCCTCCCAGCAGCCCCAGAAAAAGCCCCGGGGAAGTGGAGGCGGGCACTGCCTGAAAGCACCCCCAGCGGATGCTCCAGTCCAGGTTGGGGGTGGGCAGGGGCTCTGTCCCTCCTGGTCCCCTTCGCTCTCCAGCTACCACCATGGTATGCGGAGGGGCGTCTCGCACCTCCATATTGCTGACATAGCCTTCTCCAGAGTTTTCCTGCACAGTGGCCACAAGGCTTTTTTTTTTTTTTTTTTTTTTTTAGTATTTTTTAAAATTGAATTTTATGGAGGTGACATTGGTTAATGAAATTATGTAGGTTTCAAGTGTACAATTCTATGATATATAATCTGTACATTGCTTTGTGTGCCCACCACCCAAAGTAAAATCCTCTTTAACCCCTTTGCCCTTTACTATCCCCCCAGCCCTCTGCCCTCTGCAAACCACCACACTGTTGTCTGTGAGTTTTTGTTTATCATTTGTTCATCTGTTGCTGTTTTATATCCCACATATGAGCGCATATGGCTCGGAAGGCTTTGTAATATATATTGCTTCCCATTTTTCTTGTGATAAAATCTGCAATCTTCCGATACCTCTTCCCCCTCTCACCTTCTGTATTCGTCACCCTGGCTTTCTGCCAGTTCCTCCAGGGCCCCAAGTCTTCTCCTGACTTGGGATCCTCGCCCGTGCCGTTCCCTTGAAAGGCAAGCTCTTCACGGGAGTAGCTCAGTGATTCATTCAGGTGTCGCTTTAACATGGGACTTTGCCAGAGACCCCTCTTGACTTCAAAATCTAAATGAGGCCTCTTTCATAGTTTTTTGTACTTCTCCACAGTGGTCATCACAAGTTATAAGTATAGCAGGTCCTTGAATAGTGTTGCTTCATTCTTTGTTTCATTATGATGTTGATAAATCAGTTCCTGGCTGGGGCCACTGCCTGCGTGTACTTGGCATGTTCTTCCATGTCTGAGTGGGTTTTCTCTAGAGATTCTGGTTTCCTCTCACATCCCAAGATGCGCACATCAGGCGAACTGGCATGTCTGCGCGGTCCCAGTCTGAGTGAGTGTGGGGGTGAGTGGCCCTGTGATGGAAGGACGTCCTGTCTGCGGTTGGTTCCTGCCTTGTGCCCTGAGCTGCTGGGATAGGCTCTGGCCACCTGTGACCCTGAACTGGAATAAGTCTGTTGGAATTCTCATTTTTATTAGTCTTTCTTAACTGTATATATGCATAACTCAGACTTATTTTAATGTTTAATATTTGAAGTGTTTTGGGTCTTTATTTAGAAGTTGGGTGAAGTTTTTGTGACCAAAAATACGCTGTAGGGACTCAACTCTTGAATATATCAATTAGCCAATGGTAAAATTGGTTTTGTTATGTCGTTTCACTTAAAGTTGCAGTTTCCAAGAACCTATCGAAGACATTGAGAAATTACTATACCATTGATTTGTGATTATTTTCTGAGCTATACGAGTGTGCCTCACTTTCCACTGGACACAGCCCACCTAACACATCGTAGGCCCTCAGCACATACTTGACTATATGGCTAAATGAGTGAATGAGTTCCATAGGGTACCCATCCTGCCTATTTCTCAGGAGGCAAATAGGTCCCATGGTGAAACATGAATGGGAGATGCCCTATTCTGCCGCCCCTTATAAAGTCACAGCATGCATTAGTGTAGGGAACTCTGAGATGGGCTCCAATTAGAAAACAAAAAGTCAAGTCCAAACTGTAGAAAGTGAGTGTAATTTTCTTTACCCTGGCATTTTTTTTCACTGAACATCTATTAACATCCTACAGAATGACTCTAAGATGCTTCACTGGTGGCTTCCTCCCTGGGAAGCTTGAAACTCTCAAGACTGTGAGGCTTGGTGAGGGGCTGCTCATCCCACATTGAGCACCCTCACGGTTGCCTTGCGGTCATCACGTGCACACACGTGATGAACACACGTGCACATATTCATATGCAGTCACCACCATGGTAAAGCGGGAGTGTGAGCAAATTCTGAAAAAAATTGGAGCTAGCCTGGGTTTATATTTTTCAGGGAAAAGAGAGGGAAAAATTGTAGAAATTTGGTATTGGCAGATATAACCTTTGTAGTTATGACAGTGAGCCATTCATACATACAAACTTGTCTTTTGCTGATACCTGAATCTGCAAGTGTTGGGAAGCTGGCATGTAGATGCAGGGCCCTTAGCGATGAGTTGAGTCCACCTACTACCCAACATTCGCACCTGAATGCAGTTCTCTTGTTCTCTGTATCCACAGCAACTCTTTTGAACCTTCCAATAGACCTAATTGAATTTTATGGGAGTAGAGTGCCTGTAATATTAACATCAGTGAAGATTTTAGGACATGCCCCTTTTGCATATCTAGGATGTTTTATGTAGGTAGGGTTCCTGAGGTAGGGCTGCATTAAAGGCAGTGGAACTCAAACTACTTTTGGTCAGCTCCTACTTAGGGCAAAACTGCCAGACCTACCAACTTTGTCTAGTTTCATTTTCCAGTGGAAAAATAAATTAGTGATAATTTAGGGGGAGTGGATTATGCATGCCTTTGCTCTAGTCCTGGAGTATGGATAATTCATATTTGAACCACAATGTATACATGTCTTAGAGTCTAGTTATTGGAAAATTACAGCCCCAGGACACTGTTGATGCAAATAAGCTTCAGTATACTCTGTAGGCTTAACCAAGCGACCCACAACAAAGTAAATTGATAATGATATAGCTAAGCTAACAGTATTTCATAATTAAAAAGTACCCAGAGTAGCAATTGCAAATTGCAACCAACTCGGGCAACACTGATGATGTGCTGCTAAAGAGTCCTTCTCCCAGATCTTGGAAATGTCAACTCTGCCTACACATGTGAAATCGGAACCTTCCAACCGAATAGAGGAGCAGCGCACGGCTGCTGGGCTTGCAGCAGAATACTTTAGGGTACTTAGTCAATTATAAATCAGTAGCCCTGGTAATAATGTACAAGTGAAAGCTTAATCAAACTGCACACCGCTCACCGTAATAATCCAGAGGAGGACTTAAAGAAAAGAAATTCAGTTCAGGGCACATGGGCATGTCTCGGGAACATGTCCCCTGAGACCTACCCCCACCCCAGCAGGTCTGTCTCTGACTTTTGCAATCGCCATCTAGGCAGCACGGCCTCCTCTGGCTGAGGCTTTCACTCCCTAGCGCAAGCAGACCAGAGACGGGCCTTTGGATTTACAAAGGGCTCAGACTCTCATTTTTAAAATGCGAAATGTTTTAATCCTCAGTGTAAATAATCTCCAACAGATAACATTGAGAAAAAGCAATGTGCCTGATAGTCTATATAATAATATGCTATTTATGTTTTTAAAAAGCCAACAATTTTATTTGTATGTCGATGCTTTTTAGGGCTGGATTGTCTCTGGAAGTGAATGTGAGAAATGGATCAAATACCCCTCGACAGCCTCTAAAGAGGGGTATTGGCTGCTGGGGGAGAGAAGGGAGGAAAATTTAGTTTTTTCCCCTAGATACCCATGCCCGCTTCTTGAATTTTGCACCATTTATGTTTTAACTATTAAAAATCTCAATGAATTTAAGCTTAGAAAACAAGTGAGCCTATAGAGACTAGATTTGTTTCAGTTTTTTTTTTTTTAAGAGACGAAGGTTAAGTTCGTTTTATTTATTGCTCTGATGCCTTTTCCCCCTTTAAAACCTTGCTCATGTATTGAGCAGGAGAATCTAGAGGAAAATCTCTAAACAAGACGACAGGGTGAGAAACGCAGGCCCAGGTCCTGGGACTCTGGGCTGAGGCTAAGGCCTCCTTCTTGAAACACAATTTTCTGACAAATTAGATCTGTTACTAAACTTCCCAAGCGTTTTCGCACGGTGTATATGTAAAATACAGAAAGGAGAGCTCTTACCAAGGGCACTCGTTACATCGGGCATTTGCAGCTTGATATACGAAAAAAAAGACAAAACAAGAAAATCCGTAGAGCAAAGCATGTTTAAGCGTATGTACCGCTCGTTTCATCCGCTTTTACTGCTCAGGGAGACAAGGCAATGGCGTATCTTGATTGGCTATCGGATATTTAAAAGAAAACAAGCAAATACTACAGCATTTAGCGTCTCCTAAGGAAAAACACAACAGTTCACCAATTTTGTAAAAAATAATTGTGTCCCTTTCCATAAACTGGAACAAGACTACATTGTCTTTATATCTTAAATGCTCGTTGTGCTGAGTAACAATTCTTTCTTAGGGCGAAATATCCAAAAAATATGTAGTATCTCTAAATTTTATGGGCTCTGAGCTACTGCAGATGGATGGTAGAGAGCTGGAAGGAAATGTTTTGGACAATATGGGGGACCTAATTCTGGGTGGTGTAGACAGAGATCCAAATGAATTCCTCAGACTAGGAGAGGACTTTGTGCAATGGGCACAGATTTCTGGAGGCGGGTACACAGGCTGGGTCCATCTGGCATATTTGGGAAGATTCTATAATGAAGATATACCAGTAAGAATTCTTACTTACCCCAAGGCCTTGGTCAATTTACGAAGGCTGTAAGCCCCACAAGCCCTGTCCCTCATCTGAGGGTATTTCCTTATTTTTAAGTGTGCGAGTGTTTTCCCCATGCTTCCTGTCCTCCCAGTCACCCCCACTTTAGCCCCTTTGCTATTCACACAGGACCCGGCGGCCTGGGACAACTCGAGCCTTGTATTTCCAAGCTGGGTTCACAGAGCGGGGACGCAAGTCCCCACAAGCCCGCCAGTAGCCCACGCAAGGAAACCGCTCGGCCTGGGTCTGAATGACTTACATTTTTCCTCGCCTGAATTAGCCAGTAATTGCATGTGGGCAGACTTAGCCAGAAACGGTCTAAATGATCAATTAGAGGGCAAAAAGGAGTTCCTTTCTTTAAAGTTCAACGGTCCCTGGTAAAGAGCCCTACTTCCCAAGCCATGCTCATGTGGGCCTGGGCCGAGCTCTCCGTGGCGCTGGAGTATATTGTACATTTGCCTAATGATAATGAATTGAGTAGTTATTTTGCAGGAAAATATGGGGCACTTCCATTACATGCAATCAAGCAAAAAGGCTGTAAAAGGTGTCACTCCATTAATTTTAAACAGAATCCCTCCCAAATGTCACCCTGAAACCAGAGCACGGGGTTATTTCAAATCTGAAGGAATTAAGAGTAGTAATTTTCATTTGTACAAAGGAGTTGAGGGACATGATTCCTGCCACACACGCACTATTAATTGGGTTAAATTGGATTTTCCAATTTGAGTGAGAATCACTAAGCCCTGCCCTGGCCTGCTCGGTGGTGAGGTCAGTGGGCTCCTGTCTTCTTCGTGGGTGCACGTGCACACATACACACAACTACAGGACATGCAAAGTCTGTGATGTAATTGGTTAGTTGTTAATAAATATATATGTTGTTCAGAGAGGAAAAACAAATGCCAATTTCTGGCAAGTCACTTTATCTCTCTGAGCCTGTTTCCTCATCTGTAAAAGGGGAGTGTAACACCTGCTTCAACTGAAGTCATGAGGACTACTGAGTTTGAACACATCAGAGCACTTGGTGTGGTGTCTGGCACATAGTTTACACCCATTAAATGGTAACTATTATCTTTATTTTCATCTTCTGTGGGGGTCTCTTGGGTCTTAGCTGGTTCAAATCACATTGAGGGAAATCTGGACCCAGCACCAGCTTGGTGAAAATCTTCCTAGGCCATTGCCGGGTCAGACCCCAGGGCCTGGGAGGTGTGGGTCAGCCCACCCCACCGAGTGACTGATCATTTCCTTCCTAATTCAGTTCCCACTATCTCTGGGTTATAGCTGGACTTGTGGGAGAGCACAGAGCAGGGGACAGGAATAAGCAGGTTAAGGTGGCTCGGAGGACGGTCCAGTCTGCCCCTCACTCCACGTTCCGGTACTTGGTGAAGAGGTTGTACAACACTCGCAGCGTGGATTTCAGGTCACAGTTGACGATGTCTGCATCAAAAACAAAAAATATGGACTGCTTCAGTGGGGCCACGTGGCCCAAAGTTGGCATCTGTTGACCTCTTCCATCCACCACCCACTTTGTGTGCCCAACATGGTCCTGCGTGGGTGCCCCCCTCATCCCAAGACATCATTCTGTGCACCAGAAGCACTCCCTGTCCTGCTGGGCGATAGGAGCATCCCCCATGAGATGCCCAAAGGCCAGCGGGAGTTGAAGGAAGGGTTTGGAAGTGTGCAGCAAGAACTCAGAGCAGGGGAGCAGCGAGGGGCAGCGGTGCTGAGCACAGGGTATCGCCCCTCAGTAAAATGAAGCAGACCCCAGATCATGCAGCCTTCACCCTGGACACAGCATCTCCAGGCGAGGGGGGTGCTTCCCTGGCCCTGACTTTCCCCTATGTCTCACCAGTCCCTGGGTCCCCTTTGCCACAGAACCAGCCATGAGGGGTGGGAAGGAAGAAAGAACCTGAGGCTACAGTGGGGAGAAGTGGGGAGTTAGGACTAAGTTGCCTCACCCTCGGGAAGGGAGGGTCCCTGGAGGACACAGAAGCCCACTGGCAGAGTGCTCAGGAAGCATGTGTCTTTAGGGGACAGACAGTTTCAGATTAAGGACAAAGCAAGGCAGCTAGGTTTGAGGCTGTGAGTTGGAGTTATTTTCAGGAGAGTTCCTCCATGGGTTCCCAAGCTTTTATACAACCGTTTCCTCCATTCCCTCCCTCCCTCTGTCCCTTTTATTTAGGGGTCACTTCCTCTAACCCTCCGCTGCCTCCTCCCCCACCCCCCTCCCTCTTGTCCTGCACTCACTCCCTGGAAGGGCCTTCCTCTGAGCAACCAGAGTAGAGAAAACATAAATGAGAAAAGGAACTCTGCCTACTGTTCAGGAATGTATACTAAGGTAATAAAATTGTATGAAAAAGCAAATAAAATAAAATAAAAAAGACAAAAGCCTGTGGTTATCTTCAGGGAAAAGGGAGAGATTAATTTTCCAAAAGGGCAAATTGGCAGGAACTCTTGGGAACTGGGAGGACTCTTTCCCCTGAGCTGGGTGGTGGATGCACGGCAGTTTGCTGGGGAATATTTCACTAACCTGAACATTTATATTTTATGCACCTTTCTGTAAATGTGATATTTTCACAGTAAAAATGATTAAAAAACATCTAACTGTGCAGAAGGTCAGATGAGGTAAATGATATACGAGAAAACAATAAATACTTTGGGATTCAAAGGTGGGAGAGATCAGGCTGAGCTGCTGGGAAAAGAGAAGCTGGGGAAGATGTCAGCACCTAGCAACGCCCTTGTCTAGGGACAGGGATCCTCCAAGACCAGGCAGAACAGAGGCCAGTGGCTGTCAGGCTGGGCTGTGGCTCCCACGCCTTAGCCTTGGGACCCTTGCCCATGTGGTTGTCACAGCCAGGTGCACCCAGGCCCTGCAATGATGAGCACCCACAAGGCTACATGCCAAGGGCCCGGGGCTGGGGAATTTCCTTAGGGTTCCTCCCCACCCCTAAACGCCCTCCTGTATGCCTCCTCTGGGCCTTATCCCAGTTCAGACTGACCCTCTTCCACTTCAGCTGGGCTTGTACTCTGCTCCAAGTTCTGTTGGTACACCAGGGGCTCCCAGGGACTACCCGAGAGAACTAGTACCAGAGAACTAGTACCGAGCTTTCCTTTCTGCTCCCATGTTGGTTCATGCTTATATCTGAGCCTCCACCTGGGGCCCTGCCCAGTAGCTGAGCCCAGTTCATGCTGAGTCACTCCTGTGCCCGGAGGGCTGATTCTTGCCCTCCCCTGACGGCTTGGTGTTGTGTTTCTTAAATTCCACGCACTCAAGTCAAAGATTAGGAAGTTACCCGAGGTAGAAATGGCTAGAAAGGCAGAGAGGAGAAAAAGTGAGCTCATCAAGGGAGTGAGTGTGAAGGGGAAAGTAGGGTGGTACTGGAGCCAGGACAACAGGCTCCTGACTGGGCTCCTCTTGTCCTCTCCAATCCATTCTACCCACTGTAGCTGGACTGCTCAGCCTCTGGGGATGGTTGTGTTTCCAGGGAACTAGAAGGTAATGCAGCTTGGTTAGCAAAAGCCATCTGAGATGCAAACCCACAGTTTCCATGGGATTTCAAGGTACAACAGAGCTTTGAGTGTCAAACAGCATGGCAGAGAATGTGTTTTCCTGACCTTAAAACCATTTTGCCATGAAAAATGCCTCCACCACAGCCCATTTGATTTTGAAACACCCTCAAAGAATTACCCACATTGGCACGTTTAATAAAGTCTGTGGCATTTACTGCTGAATCTCCCTTTCCAAGGAGAAGCACAGAAACCCGAGGGAGTGCCGGGCATGCCTCTCTATGAAGTACAATTTCACCAAACACCGTTTCAGTTCTCCTTTACGCACTGGAAATTTTCAGCATGGGCATGATGCCCAGTGTAACAACAAATAAAACAGATGTGTTTTTCCATTCACATTGGTCAGGAAGTTTCATATTAAGCAGTTCAATAATTGTATGAGAAATGTCATCGATAGGCTGAGATATCTCTACAGGTTAATTGTCATTGGGAAACTGTCTGTCCTGAGGGAAATAAATGCTTGAAAACTGAAGTATCAAAAGGAGTACTTCCAATTTGTAGCTAGGAAGTTTCATATGAAGAAGCTTGAGAAAACAGAAGCAGAAATGCTGACCACTCTCTTCCACTGTCTCTCTCCTACCCAGGGATAGAGTGCTCACCATCTGGCCACAGGACACTCAGGGTCCATTCCTAATGGCATTAGGATGCTAGTGGCCTTGCCAGGAAAAGAAACCCTAGAGGGATACAAACCTTGGTAGAGTTCCTCCTCTAGCAGTGACTAGACACTTAAAACAAGGTGACAATAAATGAGAATAAGGGTGGCTTTTGTTGGCTAGAGCTGATAGCACCAAGGTCTGGGATGAGGCATGAAACCAGAGTCACTTTAGGACTCTGATGCAGCCAAGCCTGGTCTTCGGTGTGTTGTTTGTTGAGCTGGGTTGGGTGGTGCTCTGGTGTGGTCTGAAGCCACCCACCAGTTGTGTTGGTTCTGGAGCTCCTTAGGAGGGGAACCAGTGCAGGTCAATGTCAGCCTCTGCTTGTACTTGTACCTACAGCTCTATCCTAATCTCCAAACACAAATCCCACCTGATCCTTGGTTTAGCCCAACTATCACCATGTCTATTAAACCATCCCCCACTCCAGAGAGAAGCGAACATCACCTCCTCAATTCTTACAACCTCTTAGTTGTACCTCTTTCATGGCAGTTATCACTGCCATCCTTTTGTTCTGGTGACTGGGTACATCTTTTCTCTCCCCTGGATGGCTACAAGTGCCTTGAGGTTAGGGATGACCAACCTCTCTTGGCATGGGGCCTCAGGCCCACTGGACAGTGAGTGAAGGAGCCCCTCATGTGGCAATTTGGGTGGAAGGATTCAGAGCAGAGGAGCAACAAGGAGTGAAAGCACACAATCCTTACTTGTCCACTTGCCTTTAAACACCCAGGAAAGTGCAAGCAAAAGGGCCCACACATGGCATTCTTAATGCTCCAAATTGACACAAACACAAAATTATCTGCAACACGGCATTGACACACTAGAGCTGCTAAAATGGAATACTTCAGTCAGTAAGTTTCAGAAAATAAACATCCGTACCAAGAAGGCTACTGAAGACACATGCCTCCTACATGCACAAATGCACACACAGCTCCAAGCGCCAGCACAGGAGGGTCAGTGGAGCATTTTGTTATTTGTGCCTTTTTTTAAAGTCTTACATTTTCAATCCAAACCCAACAAATCATCCTTGAGCAGTTTGGAATGGGCATAGGACAGGAAAGGCAATTATGCTCAGAGCAGAGCTGCCAGCAGTGGCTCCTGCAACCTCCCTGCCTGGCCTGGGATGCAGCAGCTTGGCAGGTCAGAACCCTGTCCAGGGACAGAAGAACCTGGAAACTGGGCACAGGGCAGTTTCCGCAGCAGCACCTCTGCTCTGCACCATGTCTGCTTGGGTCCTTATTCCTCTGATCCTATGTATGAGATTTCAGATTTTTACTTCCATAGATGTGTGAGTAGCAGCTCATAAAGGATTTTCAGGACTGGGCAGCTATGCCCTGTCACACCTCCCCCTGCAAACGGCAGACTTCAGAAAAGAAACTCTTCTCTCTGCTATCAAACACGAGCCCTGTCCAAGACTCCTGTACAGGACGGGGTCTCACTATATTGTCACAAACCTAGGGGAAGAGCAAAGTACCTTCTGGCCGCGGTTTTGGCTTTTCCAACCCTCCATCTTGCATGAGCTCAAAGGCAAAGGAGACGTTTAAGACCTGGAAAGAGAAATGGGCTGCATACGTTGCTGCACACTCATTCCCGGACCCTGTGGATCCCAGGACCTGCCCCCAGAGAGTGACGGAGCCAGCACTGTAGCCAGAGGACAGAGGCTGAGCTAAAACGCCCTAGTTTGAAGGAGAAACGAGGCTACCAAATGGGCAGGCCACGCGGAGTTGAGCTGGCCCTTTCCAGCCTGCTGTTGAAAAGCACTCCTGGAGAAGCTCAAAATCCTTTCAGTCCCACTGTGTTCCTGTGTCAGCTACCAGGATTTTCAACTCAGGGACATTAGTGCTCTCCGCAAGATGTATGCAACAAGCAGAGAAGGGTTTCTGCCTTGGACCAAATGCACCTTGTCCAGCGTGCAGGCTGTGGCGGCCTATGACAGGCAGCAGAACTAGGCTGAGTGTGACTTCTCAGGTCTGACCAACTTGCCCCGTCACTTCTGGGGAAAGATGAGACTGGTCTGAGGTACCTGGCTGGGTCATATGACTAGCGGACCAAGGCCAGGTTGTGCTGGGGGGTTGGGGTGGAGAGAAAGCTGTTTCGGATGTTCTGTGGTCTTCAGGCAGCTCCTTTCCAGCTCAGTGCTCATCAGAATGGGGCCCCCGTCCAACCACTGAAGACCCTGGGTAGGCAGGAAGTCGCTGCCTTTTTCCCAGACGGTCCCAGCCTAGGTGTGGGCAGATGAGTCAGGGAACGGGGGTTGGGGCCTCCCTCCCCATGACCTCCCCTTACCTTCTGTTCAAAGCTGTCTGGGGTCAGGAAGAAACTGTGCAGGGGTACAAAGTAGCCCTCCAGGAGCCCCATGAGTAGCACCAGGTACACCCCATCTGCAAACTAGAGGGAGAGAGCCAGGTGAAGGCACTGGGCCCTTGAGCCCCCCAGCCAAACCCCATCCAGAGGGCTCGTCAGCTTCTGTGTTAACATGTCTGTCTGGTGCAGCACTAGAGCCACCGCCCATGGTCCTGATCTTAGTGGATCCAGCATTTATTGAGCATCAACCAAGTTCCTGATCTGGCACATGGACCACAGACATGAGCCAGGTGTGGCCCCTGCCCTGGAGGAGCTCATAGGCCAGTGGGGAGACTGATGTGGAGAAAATGCAGTAGCTGCTCTGATGGAGGGAAGCACATTGGTCACTCTTGCCCACTAAAGGCAACAGGGAAGGCTTCTGGAGGAGGCGCTGCCTGAATGAAGACCTGAGGGATGAGCAGGAATTAGCTAGGCTGGGGAAGAAGGTAGAAGGGCAAGGGCAAGGGCAAGGGGATGTCCAAGGCCAATGGCATGAGGCTACTAGGGTGACTTGCTTTGTGAACAAAGACCTCGTGTCATACAGGCCTAGACATTCTCCTTTCTCCCATCTCACTGTATCATCGCCTGAGGGGCACATAGGGCAGCTGTTACGAAGTTGGGCTCTGGAGCTAGGCCTTCAACTCTACTACTTACTGGCTGTGTGATCTGAGCAAGTTACATAACTTGTCTGTGACTTACTTTTCTCATCGGGAAAATGGGGATGACCATAGTATAGTATCTACTTAACAGGGTTATCATGAGGACTAAACCAGTTGATATTTGTAAGGTACCTGGAACACTGCTTGATGTGTAGGCAACACTTAATAAATAAATATTAACTGTAGCAGGTCCTTGAATAACATCATTATATTATAATGTTAATGAGAAAAACAAAATGGACTGGCAGTGTGGCCACTGTCTGTGTGGGGCTGGCATGTTCTCCCCATGTGTGCATAGTTTTTTCCAGGTTCTTTGGAAACACATCCTAAAGATGGGCACGTTGGGTGAACTGGTGTGTCGACATTGTCTGAGTACGAATGAGTGTGGGTGGCCCTGCAATGGAAGGGCTTCCTGTCCAGGGCTGGGTCCTGCTTTGTGACCCAAGCTGCAGGGATAGGCTCTGGACACCTTCGACCCTGACCTGGAATAAGCAGGTTGGAAAAGAATTCTCTTACTCATTTTTATTATGTTGCTGAAATGGATGTATAGCTCACATTTATTTCATTGTTTAATATTAGAAGAGTTTGGGGGGAGGGGTCTTTAGGTAGAAGTTCAGTGATATTTCTGTGACCAGAAATATGCTGTAGGAATGTAACTCTTTGTTATGTCAACCAGCCCATGGGAAAATTGGTTTAGTTATACATCGTTTTGCTTATAGTCACAGTTTCTAAGAACCTGTTGACCTCAAGTGAAGACGTACTGTATTGCTATTGCTATCTAGGAAAACAAAAAGGAATCAGGACACAACTTACTGGCTCTTATTGACCAAGTACAACCGTGTGCTGAAGGCCATGACAATAGGCTTAGAGCCCCATCCTTCCCATCAGAGACAGGAGAGGCTGGACAGGCTGGGAACCTGGTCCAAGGGGCAATTCCTAGGTTAAGCAGAGGGATTCAGGTCATTTGCTCAAGGAAGGGCAAGGGGGGGGGG